GCGGGTGGGGCTGCAACTTCGATGTCAGCGTGGAAAGCAAGAGTGAGAGGACTAAATTACACTGAACCGTCTATAAATACTGAAACCACACCAATCAGGAATGCCCACGTGACACGCCCCAAATGGCGTGTCCTAGAGTGAATAGAATCAACAATGAAACAAACTGTTAATGAACTGTAAACTCCGTATACCAGCAGAAAATATATGTTCTTATAGTATGCCGAAACCAAGAGAACTCGTCCACAACAAAAGCGAAACACTATTTAGAATCGCTTCGCATTTCTAAACAAATATTGAATACTCTCACAGGGTTCACACTCCAATTTCTGTAGAAATTATTTTCTAAGAGTTGATACCGGGGTCAGAGTAGGAATTTAAGTGTCGAAACATCGAGATTTTATAGTATGCCCAAGCTCGAAAATTTCCTCATCTACAAAGCCGAAATTATAACTGAAATCGCTTGACATTTCTAAACAAAGATCTACAGTTAAAAGAAGGATTGGATGAGTTTTTCCGTGGAAATTCTAGAATAATTTCAGACTCCCGGGTATGGAGTATTTTGAAAACACTTTCCGGCTGCCGGGTATCTAGACACTAGCTAAAATATTTCCATTCGAAGGTAAGAGACCAGTTAGATGGATATAGGGAAAATGGGACACAAGATACTTCCAGCCAATAAATATAGATAGAAGGTTTGTCACTTCAACCAGTCCCGAACAGCAACCTTCGCCACTCGAACTGCCAATGAATTCCCAAAAAATCGACCGATGTAACTAAAATTGGCACCAGCGATAGCGAACTGCAAATACATATCGGTTTGAACAGCAAAAGTTTGCCAATTCCACTGCATGTATAGTTGGCCCTACTACGGGATCTAATATGAAAACGCATCCGGTCGAATTATACGCACTCATTCCCCGCACCGTGTTGTTTTGCAACAGGGCAAAAGTAACAACCTTCCTATAGAGGAATCCTCGTTTACAATATTTGCCTCATTAGCATAAGCGATTCAGTTTCTGATGGGGCTAAAAATAAATCAGTTCTGAATATCGAAAGGCCAAAGTACGATTAACGCGGCCAATGAATACGAGCCTGATGCATTGAATACTTTTTGTGCAACACGGCCACTCAAAATTTTACATAGAATGTATGAGCTCATTAGCGCTTTTGCCACCCAGAAATTTTGCAGTTTTTGATGGACTATTTCTCCTTGAATATTACACCCAAACTGCCTGAAGTCAATTTGTATCTAACATGCTCCCTACTTTACGCAGAGCCGTATGCAAATGAGCAAAAATGTAAACAATGACGTCAGCATGAATCTGCCTATTAATCACCGACCCGAGGAGAGCAACGAACAAATGATGATGACAGCCGCAATGGTCACAAACGCACCACAGTACACACGTAGGTAAACATTGTGCAGACGTTCGGCAATAATATATGGCATTGGCATAAGATGAGGTATTATAGCAGCTGGGTAAAGGATAATCTCGTAACGAAGCTTTATCATGTGATATTGGAATGAATTCGAACTAACTTCGGTCGTATATAATACCACTGACTTTTACACGCGGGTCAGTACAGTGTGATGTACAATGTACAAGCGCGTTAAGCCACCCCAGTACCGGTGCACAATGTGAAATAATCGACAAGATGAGGTAATCAGCAGCTTATACACCAGAAAAATGAAGCTATTGAAATTGAAAACAATAGATTTTCTCACTTATTAAATATTTGCCGCATTTTGTTTAATCCCCCAAAACAAAAAATTCATTTACATGCAGGAAGAGAGTAAAGACGTGTGCATGGAGATATTGAGATAAGTCCTACAAAGTGCGCATGAACGTTTTTTATTCACGAGTCACGATGCATTAAAAAACGAACGAGTGAGCGCAGGGAACGAATGAGTTTTTCAATGCATTGTTACGAGTGAATAAAGATTGTTTAAGCACTTTCCATGGCATGATGTTTTATTTCATACATACTGAGATTTTTCTTACTGGCCGACACATTTCAAAGATTAGACGCGAACGCCCTCGCCTTCAGAATTGTCAAAAACAGCGATAGTTATCCAGAAAAAGCAGGAGACTAGTTCTGTAAGATACTTTTCCAGCGAGTCTGAAGACTGGTTGGATTTTTAAGTGTTATTAGCATGAAGCGATACAGGTAATTATTGTGTTGTGAAAATATTCATACTCTCACTTTGCGCCGACGTGAGGTGCGTTTTCATTTTGGTAATTATTCGCTTGAATTAGAATTTTACCTTTATAGACTGATTTTTCGCCATTCTACCCTTCTGATTTTCTGTGCCTTTAAGAACGGGTGTCCGTAATCAAAATATGAAAACATTTGTTCATTTCATATACTTGCAGTTTTATCAACAAGTTATCTCGTGAACAGGCACAACCAAACGTACTAAAGACATGTAATAGAGATCTACTATCAACTGCTGTCAATAAAGGCTTAATTCAAGATAAATTATAAATGAACCGATCATGTTGGACGGTCTCAAATATTGCATATTTTC